TATAAACTGCTTGGACAAAGCACGGAGCCAAATGGTAACATTTGAAGAGGCTTATTCGTTGTCCAAAAAAATGGAGTATAATGATAAGAGGTATTGAATGAATGCAAGTAGACAAACACTAATTTAGGTAGATGCATGAACAAGCGTACAAGATCTGGAGAGGAAGGAGTTCAGTGAAAGTTCTGAGACTTTGGGTAATGGGGAATACTAGGAAGGCAACTAGTGTTTACAATCAGCGAATGAACGTGCTCACAAGTTGAACTGTAAATGTAAAGAAAAATAAAATGTCGGTAGACCGAGAAAAATTATTGAGGATAAAAGAAACCACGTACAAAGGCAGCCAGGGAGAGAAGTGTGAGTGAACGAGGTGAGAAGATGGCGAATGTAAGGTAAGGAGTTTACAATATAATACACAGAGTATGGCCGGAAACCTACCAGTTGATAATTGTGATTATGATGCTTGGATCTTTAGTGCCGATACCGATTGTCCCGGTACCTATCCTGTAGACTTCCTTGGCCAAGGCCACCACCACTACCAGAGGCAGAGACCGAGTTCAGCGCACCAAGTGAGCAAGGTAGACCAGTTGTGTTACCGGAAAGTGTAGAAACCGGTGGAGGGACGCCAGAATGCCCGCCAATCTGGGAACCTCCAGCTCCTCCGGGGCCACCTGTTACTACAGTTTGACTATTACTAAGAAGATTAGCCATAGCCGCGGCAGCGGAGTAATAATCGTTGGGGCCCTGCAGCCCAGGTGGCAGACCTGAAGTACCTCCAGAAGCAACTGCAGCAACTGCAGCGCCCCCGCTGCCAAGAAGACTACGGTCGCGCTCGCGAGAACCCCGCAGGTGGCGCTCGACATGGCGATCACGTTCACGATCACGATCTCTCTCACGGTCGCGGTCCCGATCGCGATCCCTATCGCGATCCCGATCTCGTTCGCGATCTCTGGGAGATCGAGATCTCGATCCGAGGCCTATCGACATACCGGAACGGTCAAGGCCACCACCGCCAGCCCCACGATGTCGGCGAGTAGAGTAGAGGTCACCGATTCCCATTCCCATTGTCATGCCACCAGGAATGAGAGACCCACCACCGCCGTCACTATCACTTCCGCTATATGAACGGCGACGACGCCTTAAGCCGCCTCCTCCCATTCTACATCAAAGTAAAATATAAACAATGCCTACTTATAATAAGGAAATAATTGTGCGTAGTAGACCACCTCAGAGAGCAAACTCATCATTACATCATAGATACTCATAGTAAAATAACTCAGTCAAGAAGTTGTTTGACCTTATTTTCGCAACTTGGTAATATTGGTAGGAAGACTTAGAGGAACGCACCTGGTCCGGAGTCCATTGTATAAATAATCATTTCCAAAGCCAGACCGTGAACGCGGTACATTCGCAGACGTTTCACCGGCATCGTCAGTGATTATCGCCATTCTAAGCACAATACAACTCGTCAAAGAGACAAGTAAGCCTATCCTTTGACTAAATATGTGCTAAACAGTTGTGGTATCTCCCACTTCTGCCCTAGGATATTCATATTTCCTATATCATCCTATCATGCCTTCACTTCAAAATTATTTTACCGTGCCTATTGAGTTGTATTGTGGTGTGCTCCTTTGAGTTGCATTCATGAAAATCCTTCACACTCCACTGCTGGCTTTGATTAAGTTCAATGTTGAACCACAACGTTTGTGGGTTGGCACACAATAGACTAGGGCATATAAAGTCATAGACTTGGTATTAGAGATAGAAAAAGGATAGAAACAGTGGAAGCCAAAGCTGGTTGGCTAACAATAGTCGTGATTCAAGGATCACGTTTATAATCAAACACGTATATTGCTAGCCAAATAGCTTTAGTCTCCACCGCGTATTTCCTATTTCTATCTGTAATACCATGTCTATCACTTCCAACGTCCTAGTCTCTTGTGTGCGAAACCACAAATGTCGTGGTTTTACTTGTTTTAATTAGGCTCACTAAAGACATCTTCTCTTTGCTTCTGATTGTTGCTTTCTCATCCCCTGCGATCTCTTCTCTTAAAATTAAGGATGTTACCTTGACCCAGTCGTCTTGCTTTTGCTAATATTACTGCTGCCTGGTCTTCTCCGTGTTGTTTTAGGCAATATGCAAAGTTTTCGCTGACCCTGCCTTCTTGAAGTCTCCTGTTCATTAGATTTCTCTCAGTCAGTTTATCAATGGCCTCTCGGATCTTGCGTTTTCCTGTATTTTCACCATATGCATCCAACCTTTTGGTCGATTTCGTACCCCGTTTGTGCAATGTGTTCCGCTATTTCGGATATTTTCGTATCCATGTTCCTGCAGTCTTTGATGTTCCTTGATTCATAGGCCGATTTTTCTTCCTGTTTCACCAATATACTTTTGCTCAGTTGCCGCATTTGATGCAATAAGCTACCAGGCAATCAAGTTTGTCCATCTTCTCGTGTTGCGTCGGTAGACTGGTGAAGTGTTTTCTTCTCATTTGTTATCACCCTGATATTCTATTTCGTTAGTAACCGTTGCGATTGTCGGCTCAGTTCTGATGAGGGCAGGTAAATCCACTTTTGGTTGTCATCCTGATTCCTGATCTGATTTTCGTAAAATCCAAGTTAAAATTGGATCTTTACAACCTCTACATTTTTTTCTATAAATGCTCTGAG